GAGAAACTCAGCGACGTAAACTGTGACGTCATGACGCAGCAGCGGCAGCACCAGTCGGGCTCTGAGCGGTGTGAAAAGAGCCGGCGCTAAACCGAAGAACCGGTTCTGAACCAGAAAAGCTCTAGCACGGAGCTTGAACCGGAGTTGCGTTGGTGTGAAAGGGGCATTAGTGATTCCTCCGCTCTGCTGGGGAGACCGGAAGCCATTTAATTTGAAAAAAACTCACTCTTCCATGCGCGCATTGCACCCTGGGATATGGTAGGCCGCGGAGTGTACATCAGATGTATCCTTCAAATTGGGGAAAAGTAGGCCGCATTTGTGGGCCACATTCGGAGGAGTCTCATCATTTTTTTGAATTGGGACAGCCTTCTTTCGGCGGAAGTGACTTATGCGGTCTACAAATGCAGCCTCCGAAGGGTTCAGCCCCTGAATTGAGACACGGCCCCAGTCTTCCTGAAAGAACTTGCGCTGAGCTTCATTTCAATCAGGAGAGACTTCATTCATTTCATTCGATCTATTTTATCCATTATATCTATTTGATCCATTTTATCTATTTTATTCATAACCTAAGAGAAAGGAGGGGACGCTTTTAAGAGAGCCCTTTACCATATAGAGAGGGAATCAGAGAAACGATGTTGATGCGCCTCTATCAGAGAGTACGGTAGTTGTTAACGAGGTACAGCAAGAACTAAACATGTCTGTAATGGCGCGTTTCCACTACAGCGCGGAGCACGGTTTAAGAGGGCTGTGACGTCAGCGGCCCGTTTTTGGTTGCGTTTCCACTTGGCCTAGTACCGGCCGGCGGGTCCTAATTCAGTTTTTCTGGCCTCATAAAATCGTGGGTCTAGGGCCAGAGACAACGAGGCTGAGTCGGGCTGAGTATGCTAAACTAGAGAGAGAATCGCTGGCAAGGGGGCTACTACAACAAGATGGACATATTTGACCGTGATTTAATTATAATACACGTTTCAAAATGATGCCGAAGTAACTACATACTGATACCGGTTAGTAAAAACCATGAATTAATGCTTTGACAAGTCTGCAGACAGACGGCAGGCGAAAAACCTTTTAAAATGCGTGTTTTCTAAATGGAGATAGGCTAAGCTAACGCAGTATATGCTCCGACCGTCCACACTCACAACAACGGGCTATACAGACATAAATAAAGCAGCGACTGTATTCGCCATGACACAGGCAGTCTGTGGTTTGTACTTGTTTAACTTTTGTCTAGTTTCTGAACATATATGAGGAGCTGTGAGCTCTGAGTGCTAACAGCTAACGGCTGTGTTGTTTTTCTGGGGTTCTCATTGAAGATGACGTCACGGCTCCGCCTACACTGCGTTACTATAGATACTACCCCAGTTCCTAAACTGTAATGGAAATGCGCCATAAAGTGAGCCAGTCCTAACGAGGCCTAGCCATACCGAGCGAGGCCGTGTAGTGGAAACGCGCCCTAAGCTACTTATCCGGACTGGCCCCAACCATGAAGGGGTGGCAAGATACGATCTGATGAGACACTGAGGCGATCATGCCTAAACGTTACTGTGAAAACGGATAAACATCACTTATCTGCTGGTTGAATTTCCCGGGAGGGATTGAATGCGGCGTAGAGGGGCTGCTCCAGGCCTGCTCACGGTCGGCTTGTGCGTAATGCGACTTCCGTGTTCGCGGATCAGCTGATCGAGGAGGCCTCGACTCCGTTCTGATGCCCGATCGGCTCGTTTCACTTATGCCGAGACGGCCGGACTGTACCCGTGTTTCTGCCGATGGAGGTCTTCTCCTCTCGAGAGGTTGCTGAGGCTTAGAGATGAGTATCTTTACCCCATTATTTTCCGGAGCCGCTCTGGCTGCGCATGGACGTTATTGAGCATCAGAGCATTATGGTGACCCGGATTAACCACACACTGGGTTTTTGAATGGTGCTGCGAGGGCTGGACGAGACTTGATATCTGCTACGAGGATCTGGAACGGGTATGGCGGCAGCATGAAAACCTGAAATCAGAGCTGACTGCAGGAGAGAGGAGAACCATTTTAAAGTTTGGCTGCAGCACAGTGATTGGCTGCTGGAGAATGAGGTGAATGTAATATATGCAGCTGCGGAGTGAATGTATATATACCCAGTCTTCCTGAAAGAACTTGCGCTGAGCTTCATTTATAATGTTTCTACAAACTGAACTGAGAATAAAGTGTAAAGCCTTTACCGTTATCAGACTGAAGCCAAATTTGGACTCTACACTCACTACACAACCAGCCCAGAAGAAATGTTCGCAATGCAGGTGAGTGTTTTAAACGATGCTAGAAGCTTCTCTGCTTCCCAAAGCTGGCTTAAAAAAGGTCTTGTTCCACATCACGTGCTCTTTGCTGCTCCCTGTGGCGCAATTAAACTTAGGGAGTATCCTCACTCTCTGCTCAGAGCAATCCCACTAGCCCCATTACTTTCACTTTATTAAGCAGGGTTAATTCACTCAAATCTAGAGATGTGGAAAATATTGTTTGTGTTTATGTGTGTTATGTGTTTTAAAGCCTTTAGCACTACAGAAATATTTGAATATATCATATTAATATTTGTGTTTTATTATTTTTCATATACATTTTTATAAATACAAATCTAAAACTCAACATCATAAATAGAAAAAAGAGAAATGCAGGACTAAAGCCTTGGTTAACTCTTTACAAAAATGTTTTCAGCCAGAAACTGCAAATCAGTCACTTACCTTTGAAGAGCAGAAACAAAGATACTACTTACTTTGATGGAAATGTATTTTCTGTGTCGACGGGGGAGTTGCCTGGCAAGCAAAGCCTGCACTGTGGCTGGACCATATGATATGCTTTCATTTACTGCAAAGGGGGTAGTAGTTAAAGCATGTAACATGCAGAATTCAACTGAATGCTTTTCAGTGGTCGTCTAAAAATGTATTTTTCACCGTTCCATTGTTCTTTTTCCTCTCGTCACTTCAGGCTTCTTAACAGAAGTCCAAGATCAGATGGGTGATGTACCTTTGACAATGTCCATTTTTAAAACAGTATAAGTGTTAGGCTTGCAAAAGGTTGTGCAACTGTTGAATGCATGCTTTCCACAGGAAATGATGAATTGAATGATGGATCTACAAAAGACAGAAAAACTGTTACTCAAGAATGTTAGTCATAATAGTTGTCAGTAAGCATTTGTATTCACAACAAATGGCCTGAACAAAATATAAACGTTAAATCTTTCTTTAATCTTCTTTTGGATGACAAATAAGCAGTCCAAGCGACACAGTCTACACAGTAAGACACATGCAGGAATATACGTTTAGGAAACTCTTAAACACAAGTTTTTTAAACTAGCATTTACACTGAACACATAGTTAAGATTTAGCTTACTCATCCAAGAAAGAAGCTACGAAATGTACAAAACTTCAGTAGCTTTAGTTGCGACTGTTGACGTAGCTACGTTTAGAACGATTAAACAGCCTATCCCCCTGTATAATATTCAGTAATATGCATGTTTTAAATTAGCACAAATTGAAAGTGAATGGCAAGCATAAAGTAGCAATGCATTTAAAATATATGATTAGGATATTACAAATCAGTCACCTACCGTTGAATCGTGAACACCACTGAGATATCAGATCCTTTGGGAAAAGTAAAATAACATTTGAGAGCGGAACATCAAAAGCAATTCCAGAGGAGCTCTGCAGGCAGACCCTCAAAATAACTTGATTAAGTGGTGGAAAAAGACATCGCCTCAGGATCATTATTTATCCGTTTGTTTGTTTTTTGTATCTTTTATATTCTGGTATCAGAATTTTAAACTATTAAAAATCAATTGCACTGTAATTGCTTTATTTATTTTTGCACTTGAATAGAGAACAATACAAGTAAGAGCTTGCTCTCCGCTGGGTAATTTCACACATCCACTTAGCTGCCCATGATTTACCCATTTTACTGTGCATAAAAGTTCTTGTTGACAACCAATATTGGCATTATTCGATGTATATTTGGAATGTTTTCAGCCAATATATTTGCAACAGTGATGATAAATCAAGCAGAACGAGCCCTCATCACAGCAACACACAAGCGAGCTCCATAACATCGTTAGTGGCCTCAGAGTCAAACCAAGTCAATGTTGTTAGCAGGCTCAGGGGCAAAAGTGACAGAGACAGACAATTGATTTATCTGTGGTCACATGGAAGGATGGTATAGGAACTATTGAATGTAGGAGACTGTATGTATGGGTGAGTTTGAGTCTGTGTATATATCCAACGTAGCTGAAGCCCTAATGAGCTGTGGATGAAGCCTCCCAGGGGAAAGTTCTCTTCCTGAGCCCGTTTATCAATCTCTAAAGCGATGATAAAGATATTACATTAACTAAATTATTGCATGTTACTTGTTAGATGCTTTTATCCAAAGCGACTTACATACTCAATACTGTGGACAATCCCCACAGGAGCAATTTGGGGTGAAGTGTCTTGCCCAGGGACACAACGACATGCTGACTGCAGTGGGGTTTGAACCTGTGCTACCCTGATCCGAACACCAACACACTAGTCCACTGCGCCACAGCCTCCCTGTAAATCAACCCAATGGAGCAATACAAAAATAACTCAGTTTTTAAACAACTGAAGATGGATATCCTTTTAAAAGAAGGCATTACAAAAATGTCTCTCTTGCTTTGTAGTCGAGTAAAGAGGAGCAGACGTGCTTGGATTGGAATAAAAAAAAAACTGCATACCATGCACATGTGGCTTTGGTCAAATCATGACCAATACTTTTTCATTTGCACATTTTAAATAGAAGGGAAATGGATGGTAATGTGAACACATTAATCAAAAACTGCAACTTCAATGTGGTAGACTTTGATCAGATCAAGTCTTACTTTTTCCACAGTTTTTTACCTTGCAGTTATAATATATAACTACACCATGAGTACCCCTGTGTGTCAGGGGTAAACACCAAGTACACATCTGAAACTTTCGGAACCAGTTTGATTTAAAATCATGAAAAGAAAAAAAGTCAGCTCGAGTGCATGTTTTTATTGAAGATAACTGACCATTGTGATGACTGAACAAATAGTTTTCACAATAATAATGTCATTTTTGAACCCATTAATAGATGTAGAATCATAAGAGTTCAAGTACATTTTTAAATATGCAAAGTATAAGCAAACACAGCACAGATTGCAAATGAATACATTGTGATTCAGCAGAAAAAACAGCAAACTGGGAGCCAGCAGCATTCACACCTGCAAGCATGCAGAGGCTAACAGTAATAAGTCATGCTCATGCTCATCAATAAGCATGACGGCTCAACCCAGAAATAACCCACACGAAGCAGCCACTGCTGAGCAAAACCATCAGGAATTAAATAGTGTTGCATTTTAAGAGCAATTACATTATTTTCTATGAGTCCTGCTGTTATTGATTGAATGTCACCCGTTGCTTTTCATGGAACCATTTTTTATTGTGTGGAATATTATCCGTTTTTTTTTAACAATAAGACTGTATTACGGCAAATTTCCTTGAATGATAGTTTTTTTATCTTGTTGAGTTTTATTACAAAAATATATTTAGAGACACTGCACCTTAGGGGTCTGCCTCTTCACACTTTCAGGTCTAGTTTTCAGGCCAGCGCTGTGTTTGAAAATACAAATGCATGACTCTCTGTAATTTGAAAAGAGGGACCATCCCTGGACTCTGCAGCTGAGAGACAGTGAACAACACAAACATGTGTAACAGCCACTGCAAATGACTTCAGCGTGCAATTTCTTCAGCCAGATATTGGTGCATGAGCCTTGCACTGAAATGTTGATCTAGATCCCATTTCTCTGTCAGAGTCCACTTTAGCAGCAGCCTGGAGACAATTAGATCAGCCCGCCTGATTCTCTCATCAGTATGCTGACACACACACACACACACACACACACACACACACACACACACACACACACACACACACACACACACACACACACACACACACACACACACACACACACACACACACACACACACACACACACACACACACACACACACACACACACACACACACACACACACACACACACACACACACACACACACACACACACACACACACACACACACACACACACACACACACACACACACCACACACACACACACACACACACACACACACACACACACACACACACACACACACACACACACACACACACACACACACACAAAAAGAAAATAAGTATAAGTACAGAGTTAACAAAACCCGAATATGTACTGTGGCTAGAGACTCAAGGAATTGACAAATAATTTAAGAATTACATGTCAAAGCAGCGATGAAGTTGATCTATTGAAAGTTAATCAATAAAAAACACATACATAAACACAAATTGAAGTTTAAGTCAGGAATAGAGAATACCACTGAGGAGCAGGTGTGGGATTGAAATCAGCAGAGTAACAGTGATAAGACAATACTAGTATCTTAGTGGAAATATTCAACAACCTAAATTAACCAATACAATACAGAAACACTTCTTCAAAGTCCGGCCTTCTCTACTCTTCCATTAAAGAAGCCAAAGTGAGAAAAGGTTCAGCTTTAGATTCTTCAATAAAAGCACCATAAAACACATTTGAGTAACCAATTTAGAGATGAGCTTACATGAGGTAAACGAAAACTCCCATTACAACCACAACACACCAGAAGAGAAACATGCGGAAAACCAGTTCAGCCAAAAAAAGGAGGGTTCAAAGGATCTTCACTTTGGAAGATCAGAACAAGAAAAAGCAGATCCTCCCAAAGAAAAAAAAACACTAGAACATAATGTAGCTGCACCATTATTGGGCACATCCACCTAGAAATAGGCCTACATTAATATATTGATGAAGAATATAAATCCCCTTGCTTGACTGCTGTGGGTAGGTTAAATACATGTCAAAGTGCAAACTACTGTCTCTTAATTCCATTAATTTAACATGAATTCAAAAGTGTAATACTGATATTAATGTAATAGGAGTCTCACATTTAATTTTCAAATCGTTGCCAAGTATTCTGAAAAAATAATGGAGATAAGGGGGAAAACAAAAAGTACCAGAAGAGAAAATGAACCACCTGCTTAACACAGAAGCAGTTTTAATGTATATTAAAAGTCACAATTCATTCAACCTGGCCAGAAAAATACCTGGATTTTTCCTCAATCGATAGATTAAAATCCATAGTCTCTGCTAGATGAGGCTACACAAGAAAACGACTTCATATTAGAAATAAAACATCTCATGTGTAGGTGATTTTTTTTAAATATGTAAACTTATAACGCAACACAAATTGTGGAAGAAAACGCAGCACGTGAATACACAGATTGAAATGAATAGGCACAGCACTGATTCAGCATGAACAGCAAACTGGGAGCCAGCTATGGCAAGCCATTTGAGTATTTATTCCATATCCTTGATATCAGACGGCAGCTGCCTACACTAGTTGGCTCTTTGATTTCACTTGTTAGATATATGGTCACACTAGTTTGGCACTCTGCTTTACTAGTTAAAGGTAGGGTAGGTAAGAATGGAGAAACCAGCTCGAGTGCGCAAGAATTTGAAAGTACGCAGCCGAAAGAAATCTGCCCCTTCCTTCACACTTCCTTACAGAGCCCCTCCTCCAACACACACGAACGCGCACATGACCAATGAGGGCACGAGATAAGTTTGTGCACGAGATGGAAGGCTGACAGGCAGATAGGCCATCCAGTTATTTTAGCCGGCCGGCTCAGATGATTGGTCGTGCTTTTTACAGTACTACGGCTTCCACAGATGACATTTTTTATGTATTTATTGTCAAAGCATTTAATGTATTCATTGCTATCGGGATGTTAAGAGCATTCCATGGAATATAACAAAAAGTGTTTCTGAAGTGAATTACCTATACCCAGAGCCGTATAATAGAAGAGTTACGACATCTCCGTTCACTCCAATGGACCAGTTTTTTTACAGCAATGGCGGATCGTGGAGCCGTCAATAGTTCCCCGGAAGTTAGCTTGCCGCTGACTTCCAGGGAACTATTGCGGCCAGCAACACAGTAGAGTTGCAGCATAATAGACCATTCGTGATGGACTTTTAAAGGTAAGAAGACGTTTAAAGATTTATATTGCGGATATTATCAGCACATCTGAGTCAAATGAACATGTGTATTAAAGGATGTTAGTGGATTATCCCTAAATCTACTGATTTAGGAAACGTTTACAGATAACAGATTAGGCTAGGATACCGGATAAAGTTAGCAACACACGTTAACCATGAACAGCCTATTAATCCGTTCTCCTAATGTTATTTCATCCAACGTTGTGGAATTAGAGAAAAAGGGCTTCTAAACGTGATTTTTTTGTGGGGTGGAGGAATATAATATTAGTTAAATATAACATTGGGGCACGTGTGATTGTAATGAGTGGAGGTGGAGAAATTACGATCTCCATTTTGGAGTAGACCTACAAGCTAGTATAATAAAGTTAACGTTACACAATAATAAGGAAGAGAGCTATTTGATATTAATTTAGAGTGCATATTTGAGACTTCCAAACAGTAAACAAAAACGTAATTTATGGGTGAGTGTTTTTAGTGTATTCTGTTGATTATTACCTGTCTGTATTATGTTGCAGCTCAGCTGATTTTGAAATGATGGCAAAGTGAGAGTGAAAACACAAGGTAAATGTAATACTACTGTTGTATACAAGTAAGCATACTAAACATGTATTCTATCACTGTATTATATAAGTAATCTTGTTAGTGTATATTAGTAACCTACTGTATGGCAGGTGGAGGGGCAGTGATGTTACAGGTGGAGGATTTACTGGACATGTATACACTCATTACATACTGTACGTAAAATACGACCAAGAATGTGAGACAACTTTATACAAATTCATATCACATCCATTACTGATGCCATTTGTCATACTTTGTTAAACTCACAAATAATAAAGTTCCATAACTTCAGTTGGAAACAAAGACCACACCTTATCTCCCCAAGGCAATTTCCCATCCAATAGATGTGCTATATAGGTGTGTATAACCAGGGGTGCACATAACTGGTACGCAGGTACGCATGCGCGGCAACAATCTGAAATGCGTAACGTCACTTGTGTCACAACGCGCCTTTGCGTACCTGATAGGTCATCAAAACAAAACACATATTTCGCCTACACATGTTTCTTGTCAATACTCAGTGGAGTAAATTATTAGACATGTCCAAAAAAAACAAAGACATTAAGCAGCCACTTTGCCATTTCGCTCCCTGCTAAAATCTTCAGACTTTCTATGACTGAGTGAACTGGGTGCTGGCCGTGCCGCGCAGGGCATAACCGACGGACCTGTGAAGCTTCACAGGAGGCAGAGGCTTAGATCACTGGACGACAGAGTTGGTCGCCGTGTGCACAGACGGAGCTGCTGTTAACGTCGGTGTGTACAACAGAATTGTACCAAAACTACGTCAACTGGCTGCGGTGGGAGACTCCCCTGTGCACATTCTGTGCCCCGCGCACACACTGGAGAACTGCGCAAAATCAGCTGATCACAACGTTCACGCTCTGTGGTCAAGCTGCTGCAGTTTTATTTACAACAAAGTGGAGTAAAACACACAGCTGCAAACTTACTCAGGCTGTTAATGGAAGAGTTTGAAATCAGACAGAGGTGGAAGAAGTGTTACTCAAGTAAAATTAGAAAAGTATTATCATCAAAATCTAGTTAAAGTAGCGACAGTAAAAGTAGTCATTTTGCAGATTGGTCCATTTCATAATAATGTATATGATATGTTTTATAATTATTGATCATTAAAGTGTTTAAAAATTAGTTTGAATGACTTTGTATACTGCAGGGTAGCTTGTGGATTTACTCCAGGTGGAACTAAAGTCTGATTTAACACTTGATTATATTTCACATCATTAATCCACATCTGTAAAGTAACTAAAGGTATTAAATAAATGTAGTGGAAGAAAAGTACATGATTTACCTCTGAACTGTAGTGGAGTAGAAGTACAAAGTAGCATAAAATAGAAATACTCAAGTAAACTACAAGTATCTTAAATTGTACCTAAGTACAGTACTTGAATAAGTGTACTTTGTTACTTCCCACCTCTGAAATCAGATATGACTTCAAGTCATGTGATCATTTCTTAGTATTTGATCCTTCAACTTGGCCTCAGGAAATGCAAGGACTACACAGTTTTGGCAACAAGTTTTGGAGAAAGCAAATTGGAGGCTTACAAAGAGACAGGGAGATGCATCTTCATCATCTTCATCATCTAGCATGCAAGAAGTGTAAATAGAGGACAGTGAAGGAGACACTGAGGAGGACAGTGAGGAAGACTGCACTTATTAACACCACGCTTCATGTGGGGTGAGTACCAAACGCTGTCTCCTGGTACTCATCTGAGTAACTCACTCAAAAAGTTATGTGCACACCTGTGTATAACCCTTTCTCCTGTCTGTTTCTCCCTCTTTCAGCACAAGAACCAGAGGGGGATTCAATAGAGCCTGAATACCTGCACTGAGACCCTCACCCTGCACCCTGAGTCTCAACTCTCAGAGTTCTTCAAGCCTTTCCCTGTTATTTGTATTAAACCAAACATTAAGCTTCCCAATGGTGTGGTCTTCGTTTTGTGAAAAAGTGCAAATGCAGTGTTTGAATATGATTACCTCACATATTTTGTTGCGGCTGTCTGTTTTGATTGTTAAATTGCTCCTGCTGACTTGAGCTAGCCATTTTTCCCTCCTCTCTGTGTCAGTGGGGAAGCCGTACATTCTGATTCTTACTCCTTTCTCTGAGCGATTGGAACATCCCCAGGCAGCACAGCAAACCATGGTGGAGACGATATGCCAGGACAACACGGAGGAAAAGGCACAGACAAACTGCATGACATGCTATTCAATGTTTATTGAATTCCATGTATTTACAATGGATGTTCCTAAAACAACACTTTTAACGTCATAATCATGTTGCTGCTAGTCCATTGATAGTCACCTGTTGGTCTCCTGTCCTTTCTGAAAGTCATAAAGAGTACATTAGTCATTTAGATTACTTATGTCCTCAAGTACCATGGGATTACTGAAACCACCATGAATTAAAAAAAATTGTAGAAATGAATCTAATCTAAATTTTGAAGCATTCCTTACCATCCCCTCCCTCTAAATATATCAATAAACATTAGGAAGTGATGCTCCTGACTACCATACCTGTTTAAGAAGATAATATTTGTTTTAAATAATTCAAAGCAATACACAACAGCAACAGGCTCTTTAACCAAGGCAACAGCCTAACATGTATATGTTAACAAGTAAACTAGCTGTTCACACTATTCCTAATATTATCCATAAATATTAGCAGATTCTATTTATTTTTTAAAACATATTGATGTAAATACATACACATATCGGTATGTTGTATAAATATTGCAAATCAAGACCTTTATTCACTACTTATTACCAAAAATCGTAGTTCTATCTCCGGTAATCATGCATTCATATGTCCCGCCACGAACTTCCGGGGAACTATTGACTCTCCCTGAACCACGTGACGATCAAGCATTTTGGACTTCCGCTGTCGTAACTCTTCTATCTATATGGCGCTGCCTATACCTACTATGGCAAGCCATTTGAGTATTTATTCCATATCCTTGATATCAGACGGCAGCTGCCTACACTAGTTGGCTCTTTGATTTCACTTGTTAGATATATGGTCACACTAGTTTGGCACTCTGCTTTACTAGTTCAATAAAACATTGTACTAGTCACTCTTTTTAAGCAACTAGTGGCACTTTTGTCCGACTAGTTAGCACATAAGCCTTACTAGTGACGCCAGCAGCAGCACTAGTAGCACCAAAGTCCCAACTTGTAAGCTTTTTGATGAACTAGTGGCCCTCTGACCGTACTAGTGACACTAAAAGTCTTACAAGTTAACTAGTGCGCTGCAAAAGCTCTGACATGTTAACTAGTTACAAAAAACAAGCAGAACTAGTTAACTAGTGGCATACATTTTTCTGCACTAGTTAACTAGTAGCACCCAGAATCACTCACTAGTTAACTAGTAAAGGCAAAAGGTTCACTAGTTGACGCCTCTTTTGACCTTACTAGTTAACTAGTGGGGCTCAAAATGTCTACATGTTAACTAGTGAACCTTTTGCCTTTACTAGTTAACTAGTGAGTGATTCTGGGTGCTACTAGTTAACTAGTGCAGACAAATGTATGCCACTAGTTAACTAGTTCTGCTTCTTTTGTGTAACTAGTTAACATGTCAGAGCTTTTGCAGCGCACTAGTTAACTTGTAAGACTTTTAGCGTCACTAGTACGGTCAGAAGGCCACTAGTTCATCAAAAAGCTGACAAGTTGGGACTTTGGTGCTACAAGTGCTGCTCCTGGCGTAACTAGTAAGGCTTATGTGCTAACTAGTCGGACAAAAGTGCCACTAGTTGCTGAAAAAGAGTGACTAGTGTAATGTTTTATTTAACTAGTAAAGCAGAGTGCCAAACTAGTTTGACCATATATCTAACAAGTGAAATCAAAGAGCCAACAAGTGTAGGCAGCTGCCGTCTGATATCAAGGATATGGAATAAATACACAAATGGCTTGCCATACTACACACACTGTCGAGCAAACAACCTGTAGCATACCGAGCTAAACATGCGATGCTAGCAGAGTAAAAGCACCAGCAGCACAGAGGCAGGTACTTAGCTGACTTACCGGCAAAACGACCCGGCCTCCGGCAGACTGCTCCCGGTCCAACTGCAAACAGGAAACCTGGGGGGCAGCTCCGTGATATTTAAGTCTTAATAAAGTTGTCCAAATCCAGAACAGGCTCTGGTTCAGTTCAGATACAGCAGCACCAGTGACAATGGTCATTAGTTTCAGGTGTGTCGTCCACCCTGCATGCAATCTTCTTCTTCTTCTTCTGTGGTTTTTAATGTTGGCATTCAAAGTTCCCTTTTCTGGAAATTGGCTTTTGAAATTGGTTTTAAAATACAGTCTCCACTAACTTAATATCGTAGTTCAAAATTATAATAACCTGCAATAATGACAATTACTAAGAGATAGATATTTGCTTAAATGTAAAATAAACAGAAGAATCCATTTGGAAAAAGAATTGACACAAAAAGAACTATAAATAAGACTCTTGTTTGAAGTGTTACAGAACGTTTTGACTTGAGAAAAGTTAACATTAAGACAACATTACATTACAATGTAATATTTTTCAGGGTAGGCTACAGGATACAAGGTTCATTATTCATCTTTCTACAGAAAAGTGTTTTATAACAAAATTATACAGTACAATGCTAGTCCCTTTATGCGACTCAACAGTCACAGTCAAACCAGGACACATTGTGCAATCTTAGACTCATCACTCAGTGCATTAAGCAATTATGTACATATATACACATCTCTTTTTCTTGTCCATATGAAGGTCAATACTGTATGTGACTTTATACGCACAGTAGTAATAGACTGCATTTTCTGGTTGTACATTTTACACACTGGCACCAATAGGTTTATATTGTTGTTTTTTGTATCTTAACAATACATCTAAAAAAGCCATGCTAATAACACCCTTGACTGAGAGGGACTTGAATATTTTATTAACACAATAAAAAGAAGCTGCTTAGGTTAATTCTCCCCATTTTAATTTTATTGTGTTGCAGAGCTCAGCAATAACGTTTAAGTGTAATCTTGTCAAAGCTTATAAGAATTATGCCTAAAATGAGACCCAAGTTGTTACAAATTCCATTATGAAATCAGGTTCAAGTTGACAAGCTGATAGTAGTCCACATAATATGTTTTATTACTATCAAAGATGAATAAATAAAACCCAGAAGTGGAGGATATTTCAAGGTTTGTGGGTTTTAATATTCCCCTACTGTATGTGTGCAGGGAGTGAATGCAAACAGTGTTTGTTTTGCTTGTGCACACATGCACACACACACACCTGCCCGTCTAGGGACATCACAGGGCCAGAGGAAGCGGGTTTGATTGACAGTTGGTTGGGATCAGGTGCTGCTGAAGGTGTTTGAGGGCAAACGGAGCCTCAGAGAGACATTTAGAGTGACGTCCTCACAGCGAGACGGAGAGCGACACAGATGTGACAGATAAACTCCAAAATGACCTGCTGTCACACACACACGCACACGCACACACACACACACAATCGAACACACAGAGATAAATGATGGTATTTTTGATAAAAATCCATTAATTATTCAAAAGGTGTCTTTCCCTTGCTCTCTGTGTAAGACAGAACAACACGCAAACATTAATGCAAAATCTGAACTGGGCTCAGACAGCAGCTATACAAAGTGTGTTTGATTGAAAAAAATAAAATAAGGGTTTAACATTTCATGGAATTTAAAAGAAGGCTTTGAGTGTCCCTTCAATATGATCCTCTGGGCTTCTTGTCTGGAACAAACCAGAAGAAAACAACAATAATGTTGATTTTGGATCATTTCATCTCTTATAGTTGAAACACACCAGTTCAGTCTACGAGGCCTAAAACATCACTTAATATGATGTGATGAATATCACAAAATCTGAGTCATCAATACAATTTATTGTTTTACTGTTTATTATGTCTTGCTCACCACTATCATCGATCATGTATCCAGAAGAAGTGGAGAGCCATTTTTAAGGGAGAAGCTCCTATAACTTGACTGTTCACTACCCAGATGGTAAAAAAGTATCAACATTCCGTTGACATATTGTACAATTTCAAAGAAGAACTAAAATATAAACTCAACTATAAATCAAAATGTCAATACACTTACTTAGTAGGCATCAAAAAAGAGCTTTATTGTGTGAAGTTACATGTGTAATAACAGGCTATTTCTCTGCACCAAAGATACCAAAAATCTAATAAATCTATTAGTATTATCCTGAAAAAGATTTTACCTTTGTTTTAGTATTAGAAAAAAAAAACTGCCCTGTTTGTGTTTTAGGATAAAAAGTAGTTTTAAAATGGTAAACAAAGAGCACAATCAATTAAACTCCAATGAACATGAACAATTAGTTTTGCATGCGCTTTAATCCATTTTAATTACTGCTGCTAAATTGCTCTTTAAAATGAGCCTGTCTGTAATTGGAATTTGATTACTGCTTTATTAGCTTTGCTGCAAGTTCTTCTTGTTGTTCCAAAAAAGTTCAGATCTTAAACATCCAATTTGTGGTCTAAACATAAAAAAAGGGCGGACCCTTTACAAAAAATACACAATAAAGTGATTAGTGTTTTTAATTGAATGTATTGTCACAGTTGACCACCAGGAGGCTCTGCAGCCTCCACCTGCATTATACAAACATCGACTGATGATGAAACTTCCCTCTCATGGTGGGGAAAATGCAATTGGAGGGAAGGCATTTCTTACAATTGGAGGAAGGTCACTACAGACACACACAAAAAAACAATACTCACATAGTACACATGCTGCCTGTGTGGTTGTCAAAGCAACCAATCAGACCAAAGGGATGACAGAAGAGTGAAACTGAAATGTGTGCTGTGTCTAAACCATAATCGTCTGAATGATTAACTGACTGAAATTAGTTTATTAGTGAATTGTATTTAGATTTTATTGTCACCATTTCTAGCTACAAGTTGTTTGTGTCCGGATTGAAATTAATGTAATTGGGAAAAGTGGTTCCTAATTTGAACCAATTATAGGACAATTAGAAGAAAGTCACACATCACAGAGAGAAAGATTGAGAGTGTGTGTGTGTGTGTGTGTGTGTGTGTGTGTGTGTGTGTGTGTGTGTGTGTGTGTGTGTGTGTGTGTGTGTGTGTGTGTTAGATTACTACTTTCCATTGTGTCTATATTGTGTCTTTGTGTAACACACACGCACACACACACACACACACACACACACACACACACACACACACACACACACACACACACACACACACACACACACACACACACACACACACACACACACACGATCTTCAACAATACAGGACATATTAATTACATTATATTCAACATAATATGATCGCAATGAAATATGTATTTGTTGACCTCTGTAAAAGGAAATGTACAATAACAGATTAAATACCTGGACTTCTGAAATCCTTGAGATACACCGCTGCATTATGGGTAAACAATTGAAAGGCCAGCACAGTAATGACATCACGCTTTTCTATATACGGCTATTTGTGATAAGCAGATTGATTGGATAGCTTACAGGAGCAGTGATATAAATGATATAAATGTTAAGTGTCAATCTATATAAGTGGTTATTTGCTTTAACTTATCACTATGAAGTGCATGGTAATTACAAAATGTAATGGCTCATGAATAATGACACTATCAGCATTTACATTGGCTCCTTATTAGCAATTATGTCTGCCTACGGTTCCCCATCTTCTGTGAAAATAAAGGCTCAATTAGGGGCACAAAGGAAGAGGATGGCGCTCTAGTTGCGTCTATACTAATGAAGGTAATACAATAAAAACATGGAGGCTCCGTAGTTAAACCACAACGGCAAACTCTTTATTGCTCCCGCATTCTCAACCACAACATGCAGCTTTAATTCGTACCTTTCATAACAAGAGCCCTAGTTATATACTCTCCATCACTGCCTACCTAGAGAGCATTTAGCTCTCAACACAATAGCTTACAGTAACTATTCCCAGGTTGCTGAACAACCGGAGTAACGATCACTTTGGAAACTCAAAAGGGCCTCCTCGTTCACGGAGAATGCAAGATATGCGAAGACAATGAGTGATACAAAAATGTCTTTCTACTAAGCTCGATCAGTATGTAACAAAGGCTGCCAATTCGTTCATATCCGTTGTTTTGTTCTGCTATTATCACAGCACTTATATTGGGGTTTATAGTTCAAATTGTGATGTGGATGTATCTTGGTTTACCCAGGCAGCTAGCATTAGCCATGTTGCTAACAATATATATAAACAAGTAAATAGTTTGATCTGTCTGTTCATATGAAAAATAACAGACAGAAAACAGGTTTTAACATCACAGTTGGGCAGGTTGTTGGGGAACAAATGCAATGTGTCCTATGGTGTTGGTAGCTTTTAGGAATAGAAAAGCGATACAGAAGTGGCACCAACAACAAGACCGACTGCTTGAAAATGCTAGTCGACAAAAAAGCAGTTTGGATATATTGGGAAAAATCAACAGCTGAAAGATGTATCTGTATGTTATGGAGATGTTAAAGCCTTGTTCTGTGGGACTCCCTCTTATCACTGTAAGTAACGTCAGCAGCAGGGTTCAGGGCCTGGCACCACCTGGAGCAGCTCGGCACAGTGTGGCACAGAGCGGGCCGATGGAGCACGCTTTGGCTCTGACCCTCGGCACCAGCTTGGGCAGATGGTCTGCGGCGTGACGAGGGGGAGCCGGTGACGCAGACATCGCCCAACAGCTGAAACAACCCACCACATACAGGTGGTGAGGCGATCCACTCCCCCACACTTACAGACCGGCATGGTGTTTGTTACATAACCGAGGTTGAGGGGCTTCACTGTCTAATCAGTCCAGGGGACCTTCAATTCATAGCAGTAGTCATGGAAACACACATTGGGACATGCACCCATGCAGACACATGTAACTACACATGGACATAATGAGATACACAAAAAACACACACACACTCTTTGTGGATGATATCTGAAGCTGTCAGAAGGGTCCGAGTGCCTCCCAATGGCCTGCTGTTGCACTGTAAACGATTTATTATATCATTCAAAATCTCTGAAATACAGGCAGAAGGGAATACAATTACAACATTGTAAATAAAAAATGTGTATAATTGTAAATGGTGTTCAAAATTAAACTGTAATTTCTCCATAGTTCAAATATTTTTGATATTGCAAGGCAGATTTACTGTTTTCCAGATTCTGAATGATTTTGAATTAACCATCCTACACCATGGCTGGCTGAGATGCCAATCAAGATACCCATTTAACGTGTATAGTTTGCCTAAAAAAGACCAATATGAATACTCACTGACCTGACCTGAAACGAAGATAAGAAATGATTTAATGTACTTGGAATGCCAAGCAGAACCACATGTCATGACCATTAGCTGCTGTTTTGAAAGGGTATGGGTGACATCATTTAATATTCTTCTAGTGTCTTCAAATCCCATTGTTCTGATATTCAAACTCTTATTCTTCTCTCTAAATAAGTTGTTTGGGACTATTTTCAGTGGCGGATCCACATTCAGATCTCAAATCTAAATACAATTAAGTGTGTGTTTGTGTCTATCATGAAGGGACTTATCAACAAAATAACTCATTGTTGCTTTTGGTTTTTTATTGGATTTCTTGACTAGCTGACTGACTAGAGCCACCCCCTAGTGGCCATTAAAAGAACAGCAGGTAATGGCACTTCCCGCATTAGCTTCTATCGTGTGGTGGTTGCGAGAAAACATTTTAACATTTTCAAAACACATAGCAAGACACCAGAAACCTCTGTCAGTGAGTAAGGATAAGCCTTTATTGGTGTTTGGAGGGGGAAAAGCCATCATCCCTGTGGACAGCACACAATATGGGTGAGGAGTCAGGGTAGTGTTGCACTCATGGGACTTGTAGTTCATAACAGTCAGTCACAACATGGAGAGGATAGCTGGTAATCCACAAAATTGAAGGAGAAATAACAAGGCTGAGTACATTATTATTATCGTTATTATTATTGATGTTACTATTATTGATGTTACTATTACCCGCAATGCTGTGTTTCATCGTACATCAGCCAACTGTCATTGCCACCACGTGAAAAGTAGGCCTCAAAGGACCACCGAAAAAAGTTGCAACACGCTCAACAACACAGTTACATAGAAAAATAGCACTGTCAAAAAGTTTCCAAAATGTCTGTGAGGAAATCCAAAAATCCCGGATATCAAAAAGAAAAACCACATGGCTTTCTTCTTCCATCAACGGATGGAAGTGTAAGAAGCTCTGAGACTTTTCTTCAAGGGATTATATTCAAATGTTTGTTTCTGTGGATCAGGGTGAAACATATTTCCAGAAAGAAAATACCAAAGAAAAGAAAATATATATATATATATATATATATATATATTTATATCAAGGATAGAACTACAGCTCCCATAATACAATACAACTGGGATTCAGTTAAGTCTCTGTTGAAGGTGTCAACAGCAAACAGGCTCATGGGAAATCAAGTAAAAGTTGTTCTTGGAAATCAAAAAGAGATTTAGGTGAGAAGCAAATCACAGCTTCCCCTGAATAAAACAATCAAGAAATCATAATACTTGCAACTATGGCTGTATATCAGTCAGATAACAGGAAATGTATTTTTCAAGTACCAATTAGTCGCCAACTCTAAGCAAAGACACACAAGCTTTAAATTGACCATTCACTAAACCTCTCCCCCAAAAAGTGACTGTCCAATCATAGCTAGCTGAGCGATTGTAACTTGGTTTTGGAGTTCTAAGCATGTTAAAGAAGTATTGCATTGCGCTAAAGTAAAAGAGATACTCTTAAATGGACATTTAAGACCATTTTGCAAATGTCGTACAACTCAGTCAGAAATATTAAAAACGTGCGACTGATTTTGCACCGGCTTAATGTTAGCTAGGTAGCTACAACTTACAACTTAACCCGTTATGAAAAGAAAACTAGCTTTGTTATCTCTAAAAAAGAAATCAATAACTTCCAACATCAAAATAGTGGCTGGGCTTCCTTCAATGAGATACTGCTCCTAACACTAGGATGGGTCAAATGCAGAGAAACCATTTTGTTACTTAGTACCTGTACTGTGTAATGACAATAAAAAAAAATAAAAAGTGATTGTAGAGATGTTAGCTAGCTAGCTAAAGCTAATGTTGTCATGGTGAAAAGTGTTTGCGAAGCTTTAGAATTGAACACATAGCAACAGTGACTTAAGGGGGTGGGGCTTGATGAACGGTCAGTTGGTCTTCGGGGAAAGTTTTCTATCCAACAGCGCGTTAACAATAAATTGGGGTACAACAGAATAATAACAATAAAACCCAACAGCTTGGAAATGCTTTCCAAAAACAAAAATCCAACATCATATTTGTTTTTCCTCCCCAAAACAAAACCAATCAAACCACAAACTCTCTGATCCAAGACTTGTTTTGTGTTTTTTTTTAATATGTGTATTTAATACCTCAGACAAAAACACCTGAGAAAAACTGACAAAATGATTCCATAGGGATTTTCTGTAATATATTCAATTATGTATATTACAACTATCACATAATTCAAGCATATATCATATACATATATATATTTATATCTAGTGAGAGAATAGTTTAATATTCAATAGTACAGTTGTATGGTACAGTAGCAGTAGGGTGCATGTCTTGTTTCTCATTGGGTAAAGTCTGAAGGAGAGGTATAGACAAGTGTTTGTGTGTAAATCTATATACGATTTATCGATACAATATGAAACAAAAGCAAGAAAACTGTTTAACTAAAATGAAGGAATAAAAGACAAAGAAAGGGTATAGGCAGTTCAGTACTGTGTTTGAAACAGTGGATGTGTGTGTGTGTGTGTGTGTGTGTATGTGTGTGTGTGTGTGTGTGTGTGTGTGTGTGTGTGTGTGTGTGTGTGTGTGTGTGTGTGTGTGTGTGTGTGTGTGTGTGTGTGTGTGTGTGTGTGTCAGGTGAAGGATCAGATCAGATCAGCACCATAGAAGTCCATTACAACATCAACAACAACAACAAGGGTTCAAACCTGGGTAGGGACTGTGTGTGTCCGGGTGTTTGTTGTGTGTCTGCATGCTGAATGTCTCAGTCACTGTTCAATCTGGGCAAATCAACCCTAAACCAGTTAGTTTTTCATTTTTGCACATCCTGGACAAATCAAGGAGTAAACAGAGAGAGAAAGACTGTTGTGTTATTGATATCTGTCACTCTGAGTGTGTGTATGTGCGCGAGCAAGACACCAAACTAAATGCAAACCTGCCAGCGAAATTCTCCACCTTTATTTAGTTTCAAACATCTGCTCACATCCAGCTGTTCTGATGGCTAATTACTTCCTGTTTTCCTGTCTCTTTTTCTCCTTATCCTTCAAAAATAAAAGCCCCTGCGATCATTTAAAAAATCAGACACGGAATCAAATAGAAGATAACAAATAAAGTGTTTTAACGAGCCCACAAAGGAAACAAACAAACACAAAAATCTCTTAAAACTGTACAATTTTTGTTTCACCGTCTTCCCCCTGCCATCGCCCAAACTGCCCCCGCCGAGAACAATCGTTACTAAGATACCCCGCCTCTTCTCGCAGCAAGTGAAATACCTGATTCAACCGTGATACATTCTCTGTTACTCCCACGCCTAACCAGCTCAGTGAAATCAAAAATAGATTATCTGTTGTTTGCGATAAACAGCTGGGAGGAAAAGTGTTTTGTGTGGCCCCGTGACTGTCCAGCTAAGCCCCTCCATATATAAAATATACAAAAGATTATCTCCAAAATCCTCCTCCTGACTATCTTTGCTAATAGAAAAATATACAATAATCCTATGTCAAAATCTCTTTGCGGTTATGGACGAAATCCCTGCACCTCCTCCTCTTTGCTGGACTAGTCTTGCCTTCCTGCCCACTTCAAAAATATACATGTTCTTTTGTCCTATTTATAGAAAAAAATGACACATCTGACCTCTCCTGGCTTGTATCCGTGCCTTGAGCTTATAACGTGAGATTTCACTGGCATAATGTGAATTCAACACCCTGTTTGAACTGGCCGGAGTAGCAGCCGGGACGCACTACCTGCAAAAATGCCGTGCGACACCGGGCGTAAGCACAGCACCGAGGGTGACGTAAGCTGCCGAGGTGACACGCGGTGATACAGTACGTAGAGTGGAATTCAGCGAAGCATCACGTTTAAAAAAAAAGGAGTCAAACTGGAAAAGATGGCGTCGCTGTGCTTTCCCGTTCGTGACATCCTGAAGCACAGCGTGCACACACTTTTCGTGTTTGCGCCCGGTGTCGCACAGCGCTTACTGCAGATCTACGTCGGCCGCCCCCCCTCGCCACTTCAACTAAAGTGCTGCTGTTGTTGGGTTTGCCTTGTACCCTTTTCTCATTTCATCCTCCCCTCCCGCCCCTATCTCCTTCGACGTCTTCTTTCTCTTCCTCCGCCGCCGCCTCACAAGTCTCCGTGTCGATTCTCGTACTTGTTGATGATGTTCCTGCAGCGGCCCAGCTCTTTCCTCATGTCGGCCACCTCCTGACGAAGTGCACCGTTTTCCCGCTCTAGGAAGGCGGCGCGCACCGAGATCTGGTTCTCCTTCAGCCGCCGGGCGTCCCTCGAGCGTTTTGCCGCCTCATTGTTCTTGACGCGCCGGCACCAGTACCTGTCGTCCTGGCATCGGCGGCGGTGTGGTATGTTGTGGTGTGTGGGGAAGAAGGTGGGGGGAGGAGAGAAAAAAGAAGAAGAAAACACAGGATGAGTTATGAGGGTCAGATATAAGAGGAGATGAAAGGACGACAGGAAAGGAAGAAGGCAGAGGAAGGGAGACAACAGTTGAATAGTTGCTACAACAGGACACAACAAACATGAAAATATCACAAATGCGGAGAGCCACTTCGGAAAAGATCACTGTGGCCTTGGAAAATAGTTAGTCACACAAAATAAATTGAAATGTTGCCATTTTAGCTATTTCTTCCATATAATAGCTGCAGTAAGCAGCAACACATGGGGTGCCATGTATGACAAGTACAATTAAAAGGTGATTTAAGGAAACATATACAAATCGAGAAAATACCCTTAGACTCCAGAGGGTTAACTTGATATTAGCAGCCCCATTCGCTAACAAGGATGCTAACATTCTTCACAAATGACAAATGCAGCAATGTGTGACACAGCTAAGACTTTGGTTCTGAGCAAGTTTAGGATTTTGGCATATTTTGACTGCTTAACATCACAATCAGCATTAAGGTGTTTTTTTTTACTACACTTGACAGTTAGATGTTTTACCCTATTCACTTGGGGTGTCCGTTCATAAACAGCTAACTGTATTAGCCACAAACAGAAACTGTGCATCAGCACTATTTTGACATACAATAGTATGTTATAATAACATAATAAATATCAGGAAAGATAATGGATAAGCGTATAATACTGCTGTTAAGGATTTGGGCGTTTTCTGTTTTGCATAAACACTAGAATTTACTGAACCTACTGTGAATTTGGTTTAGTATCGCTTTAGGTGGCCATGGTATGAGAGCAATAATACACTGCAGGGTATACTTATCTACAAAATGAATGGGCCTTATCTGTTTCTTTCCTGTATTGGAACTGCTCCTTATATTTGATAAGTTAAAGTATGTATTTGCTATCACATGAAAAACAGACACTTAAAAGCTAACAAATAGACCCATTACGACACAGGAAGCAATCAGAAGGTCTGCAATACCGACAAATAAGTATGTGAGACTGAAAATAATAAAGATAATAGGAAAAGTAGTGTAAAAAAATGCAGCTGTGCAGTCCTAAGTCAGGGCTAAACTGAACAAATAAAGTCTGCAGCGTTGCTTTATGGGGCATGAAAGCAATCTTTTGACCGGTGAGGGTCTCATGAAAGGAAGATTGGAAATCACAGTGATTGTTGTGTTGTGATTGTTGGACTAGAGCAGGGGTGTCAAACTCAAATACACAGTGGGCCAAAAAAAAAAAATGGGTACTAGTCGAGGGCCGGACTGGTTCAATGTTTATTGCAAAACGTATTGAAATGAACTTATTGCACATATTAAACCTGGAACTAACAAAGCTTAAATGATTGCCTATAAAATCAACATTAAACATGAAATAATCAGTTGCATTCATTTCTTATGGCTCCATCTGCAGCTTTTCCGGAGTCATTTCTTATGAGTACATTTTTCCACAGACCAACAACAGCTTCAAAAAAACTATTTCCCTCAAAGAAAAAAACAAACATGCCCTGTTGTCCAAAGAATGAAAGTGCAGAAGGAAACATCCATTTAAACTCAGTTTGCTGCTCTGTGATGCTAGTTCAAGCCAGATACTTGGCATCTCATCTTGGGTGCAAGTTCATCAATGTTTGGGCTCAGGCTCTGAGCTGAGGAAACCCTCAGGATTGAGTGAAGGTGTGCGTGCAATATACGGGCGGGCCAGATCTAATAGTAATTAGAAATTATCCTGCGGGCCGAAATGAAATCTACCACGGGCCGGATTTGGCCCCTGGGCCTTGAGTTTGACATATGTGGACTAGAGTAAAATAGGAGTCCAAATTGAAAGTTGAGATGTCTATCTGAACGATTTATACCAGTGGAACAGTGCAGGCCCAAACTGTAAGTGTTTCCTCTGAGAGGAACTGACAGAGTTGATATCATCCCACCATTAAACTCTGCAAAATCATTACACGTTTGCTAATTTTTTTTAAAGGTTCTGGGATTACCAGCTTCGAAAATATGAGATACGTTTTTTAATGAGTTCATTAAAAAAACTCCTCAATGTTATGAAGATGAAATATCTTTCATCTTTCGGTCGTAGCCATTGTTCGTCCGGCTGAGGGTTTGTATTAAACAAAGAGCTGAATCTAATATATAATTTATGAGGAGCTGCAGAGCAATCCCAGCTTCATCTTTAAGGCTGGTCAGACATAATTTTTCCCGGACATCCTGCATACAAATGATTTATTAATCCTTCTGCGACTGAACACGAGGTGAACGCCTTCATCTGTTCATAAATTAGAAAAGCCTCCGGAGCTGCAGCTGCTCTGCACTGAGCTATGAGAGCAGGAGCCATCGATCAGAGCTCCGCTTATTGTGCAATGAACGCAAGAAAGAATATTTGTGTGAGTCTCGTCAGGAGCCATCAATATTAGAAGGCATCATGCTCCAGCAGCGTTTTCTACATCAATATAAGAGCTGTGGTCTTCATCGTGATGAAGTTCAGGGTTTTTATCTAAACAGGATACTGTAGAAAACCGGACCTCTTTTCATTGGGGAAAGTTTTGGGGTTTTATTTTAAATTCCATTCTTTAATTTGATTTGATTAAAATGTTTCAGTGAAGATTTTGAATGAACATATGTCAGTTTATCAGTGACTTATGTTGTTTAAAAAAGAAATATAAATACATTTCTGTCTAGAAGTGAATCCTATTAAAAATGTTAACCTTGAGCAAGAAGAATCTTAAAAAATTTAACTTTATTTTACTTATTTATTAATTTAGAAAATACCCAATATAAGAAGATATATTTGGTTAAAATATTATTTTTTGACCTTGGGTTTGGAAAATAAGATTTTAACGACAAAAATGATTTGATGATAAGAATGCTTTTGTAGCTTTGAGACACAAGTTGTGAAACTTAAAAATGTGGTATTTGGTAAATTGAATAAACTTGGTTTGAAACTTATAACCTATTTTCCTAAATGATTCAAATCGTTGAGAACTAAAAAGCCTTAAATCTGGTCATTGGCCATCAAAAATATGTGTCTTTCATAACCCAGCAAAACCATAACAGAGTTGTTTGTATGCTTGAATTCTGGGTAAAAACACATTGAAACTAGTCAGAAAGGCATCTGTTGGAAAGCAAAGAATTGTGGGAAATGAAGTACCTTCTGTTCATTGGGGACAAGCATCTTTCGGGCCTTCTTGATCATCGGCTGAGGCTTTAGCTCCTCGTCAGAGAAGCGGTGCCGCCGAGGGTCAAACGCCTCCTGTCCCGGCACACTGGACAACGCCAAGTCTGCTGGGTCGGGGTCAAAGTTCACCATGACGTCGTTGCTGCCGTTGGCGGCCGCCGGGGGTCCGGAGGGTCCCGGTGGACAGGTAGTGGATGTGGGGGACGCGTCCTGAGGCGCCGCCCGACCATCTGGTGGGGAGAAGGAGACGGAGGATGAGTTAGATTGGTAAACAGTTACCGTGAAGCTCCACCCACAGCCTTCAGGTGGTGTGACATACACCTTTACAACACTTTTTCCAAAATAAATCTCTTCTGTATAAAATTAAATTTAAAAAAACTTTTTTTATTGTGTCATAATAACTTTAATTTTGAAATGTTCCTATTTTGGCCACAGTGTCTTTTTTACATTTGGCCACCAGGAGAGGCCAAAGTCAAACATTTTCCAAAGCCTTTTATAGCCACAGAGATCTTTTCCACAGAGCCAGATGTGGATGCTAAGATGTAAGACACAACTGCAAAGCTGCTGTTGATTGCCAAAATGCAGAAGGTCAGTGGAAGGTCAGAGGTCAAGCTCAACTACAGACAAAGGAAGTGTAGCTCAAGAGCATTAAAGTTTGGTTTGAATTGAAAGCTACCTCCTTTGTCTGCTGATCAAAAGGCTAATAACCCTAGCCCTGAACAATCTTTGATTTTAAATGGCAAATAAAACACAATAAAAGAGAGAGAAGAGAGCGATGGTGAATTCCAGTAAAGTTTAATCTGCTCTACAGTCCATTCAGATGCACAAAACAGAATATGTAAGACTGGCTTCATTACTCATTTAGATGTGCAGTCATTATCATCTACTTTCATCTGCAGATTAGAGCCCATCTGCTCTCTGAGGACGGTCACATGCCAGAGAGCGGTGGCTGAGCTAAAGGCTAACACGTAAAGATGATAACAAGACCGTCCTCAATGGAAGTTTGATCAAATTAACCTAAACTCTGGAGATTAAGATGACTCAGAATGTGGAGCAAGCTAGGATCAAATATTGTTATGGAGGGCTGAGTACAAGGACTACTGCTGTAAAGTAGCAGCCTGTAAAGTATAACACTTTCAATCAAATTTCTAATTTCTATTTACGTTTGCTGCTTTGTTCAAATATTTATTTTCCAAAAGCAACTCACAAAAAACATAAAATACCTTATTTAATTAATTTCAAGTTATGGCAATGCACTATATGAAACTAATTATATACCTGCAGACCTCACCTATCTAAATTCAAAAAATTTACTTTTCATTCAATGTGGAAAGCACCAGCCTGCCTAAACACCAAGCCAATATACATGTTTTCTGACAATATTACATATTTTAGATCTGAATTCTATCCTTTATATTAGCTTTTTTAATGCTTTTTTTAGTGGACTCAAATTATTTTTTACTGCACAATATTCTTTTAGCTGTTTTATGTTTGAAATGCTCTATGGTGACGTTCTATTTCTGCTTAGATGACATTTTATTGGCACCATCTTACTTTTAAGTAAGGCACATTGTAACACATTGGCTATGTGCAGAAGTGCTTTACAAACACAGCAGTGATGTCTTTGTTATTATTTACATAACTATCAATATAAGCAGTGGCTTTCCTGTCTTTTAATTCCATGAAAAGGATCAGATTTAGATATTTTCTACAATGGCGAATACAAAAAAGTTACCAAACACGCAACTATTTCAGATTTGGTCCAAAATCAGTCACAGGTCAAAGCCTGTCGTATGAGGGTTTGAGGCGACTGGCAGCAGAGGGACATGTGCTGAACGCTCTGTCTCTCTCCCTCATGCTTCATCCAGAGAGCAGAGAGCCAAGAATGAGGCCCACAGAGATGAGTTGACCATAAAGAGGATTATAGACAGCGGACAATATGTTCACATTTAATTCAAAATGGGGGAGGAGGATGGAATGCCAGTATGTTTGCTTTCCCTACTCTAATTTCACAATGGTTTTGTGCATATTTAAATACAAGTGGACGATGTAACTTTTCATATTCTCAGTTAAATGTCCTCAAAATAACAGCATCTTCAATGTTTTCCACAGCAGTCGCAGTGACAGTGATTCACCACCAGGTGGCGGTGTGGAGCCAGAGACTCTGAGCAGGGCAGCGAGTTCACATCATGCTGGATTTACAACAAGCAAGAGCAGATTTAGTTTAACCCCTTGTGGTGATTCGTGTGGGAAAAATCTGCTCCTATCACCAAGCACAATCGCAGAATGATCATAGCTGAACCACAATAGGCAAATAAAAGAGAATCTGATCATAAATCAGATCTCTTGTGCTTGTTTGAGATTCAATAATCCTCCGTTTATGGACAACAGATTATGTTGGTTGGTTTGCTCGTGTGGCAGTCGATTTTTTTTCTCCCCAATTCGATTCCAGCAGGCTTTTGTGGCGTGACATTTCACATGTGTGTAGATGTCATGGAGTGAAACACGTTTAACAATACCGGGAATTGTTGGATGTTTTGGTTTCAGTTCAAGTTATTCGAGGATTCTAGTAAATGTTGCGTCAGAGTGTAAAACTCCTCATTAGTTCATTTACCCTGCAGCCATTCTGCTCCAGCACTGTTTTCTTTTCTGAATGTATCTCTATAGAACCAAGAAGAGTGAGTCTATTTTCAGCCATATCTCTTCACCAGCTGCTTAAGAATATGTTTTCCATTGCTGATACCTGGAGAAAAACATGATTTTTCCAAACATCTATTCTTCAGAAAACAAGCGTCAGTTGAGCAATCATCTAGCACCATTCAGAACTGTATTTTGGCAGCATTTGTAAAATGCCCTTTATTTTTTATTTTTTTAAGCTCCAGGCACCCAGCCACAGATTATAAATAACTGCAGAGCTGGTGACCAATATCGACGGAAACAGTAGTGGAAAGATTTCAGATACTCGAACACATTTCAAACAGAAAAGAGATGTGTTGGCAGTACATTACTTGACTCTTTAAGTATTTTAACCAGCAGAGAGCACGGTTATATCCCAAATGATCCTCTTATTAAAGCAACATAATGTACTTAATCTTTAGACAACAACAAAATGATCTTTTACTGGAGGCGTATGGAGTAAAAGTAGTAGGCCTATTGTCAAGTCATATTTTATGAAACTACGGCTGTTGCAGGTAAACAGTCCGTTGGAGAGCAAAAGGGGCTCATTAGCTTAAATGCAATTACAGAACTAATTAGCTACGGCCAAAACCACAAGCACTGTACAAAGGAAAAACATTTTCCAGCCAGCAGTCCAAAGGTCATGTGATAGTGGTGTAAACACCAACATGTTTGCTGAGTTAAAAGCGAACTAGCTAACAGTTTGTTATTCCTGGTTTTGCTAGTAGCAGTTAGTATTTAGCAGTTAGCCGTTAGCGGTTGGCGGTAAGTGTTATTTAGCAAGTAAAGCTGTATGTGCATCAGTGAATTGTAAATTGCAGAGAGAGCCGAAGTAGATCAGGTGGAGGACACTAGAGGGCAAACTGAAATAATTTTATACCGAAAATATTATCCAGTTTCACCAAAATCAACATTAAGCCTTACATTTCCACAATAGTGCAAGAACAGGTGTTAGGGGCATTAAGTGGGATTGACAAAGGCATCATTGTCCCCTTTACAAGTCAAGGTAGCAGCAAAATGTTCTAAAAGCTGTTATTTTCAAGCCAACAGAAACACAAAAAGCCATCTGAGAACATGTACAACTGTTTTGCAAACCTCAAAATGTCAGTCAGAGCAGCACAACTGACAATGCTTTGCAATTTGACTGCTATTTTGAGCTGTCAATCATTTTATTATCCATGTCACCCACAATACTGTGACCAAATCTTCCTACAGGCTCTGAGAAATCAGGCTAATGCTTCACGGCAGGCAGGGATGGGACCGTTTGAGGGGAAGTAGACGATTGTGTTCCCCCCTGCCCGAAATCCAGCTGAAAACCCTTGACTACACACTGAGCAGGGAGTGCCAAGACAGGAGTGTAAAATGCTTGGTATATAAACTTTATGGTGGTGTTTGAGTTCAAACTCAAGTCAAACTCTGAGATAAAATCTTCTTATGATTGCGTTTGAATCCAATCGGAAAAAGCGGGAAAAAGCTCCTCAGCAATTTTGATCTGCTTATGAAAAAAAACATTTTGTGAGAATATATCCACATTTTCTATTTGTATGTACCAAGCTATAACTGAATGATTGTTCGTTTTAACATTACGTCCATGAATGCATCATCCTGCCAAACAATTATTATCCTTTGTGTCTTTTTTGTATTTTTGTTTATTTTTAGCTAAAAGTGCCCATCTCAATCATCGAAAGGCTTATAAAAAAATGTATATAGTCTCCCAAATACAGAAGCTTGTTGACTAGCATGAGTTGTGGCAACGTTCTACCCTGCAGGGTTTGACATTTTGGCAGTAATATCAAAACCTGAGTCCTCTTCTCTTGAAAGGGGCTCAAATTTCCAGGGACTTTGGTGTCATTATCTGCTGCCACCAGCGTTCAAATGTACCTGTGGGCTTCTAATTGAACTAAACTGAACTTTGTAACCTGCAAACAAAGTCCTCCAAGCTGGCAACTTACTGACATAAACAACGGATAAACTAAGATAACCCTTTCCTAACCAAACACTGCGTATACAGAGCTCTTGTTGTAAAAGTGCTGTACATAATCACGTGTTATTCTGATGTGTTTTTTTGTTGTTTCAGTTACTGATATAGGTGTAGAATAGAAGGAGGAGACAGAAAAGCAACTAATAACAACACACAAAGCAGACAAAGAAATTATGAAAAGAGTATTAGCATTTAGAGACAGGATATAAACATTGAATACATGGTTTACAACACTCTATAATGTAGTTGTAAGCAGATATAATTGTAAGTGTTTATTAATGTATTCAAAAACCATTACTTCTCTCAGGCAAAGGTATTGCCCCTTATTTATTTCATTTGAGCATCTTTCAGCTCGTTGTTTTGGTTTAAAGGCTGCAACTGTATTGTCTTGCTTCAAGCGGTTATAAACGCTGTTGATACATCAGCTTTATATTGTGATGATATGATAACATAAGGTCAACAGATTGTTTCCACTGCCCCCGAGCGGCCAAGATAACACATCTATCGTTGATCAATTGTAAATCTTTGGGTTTTTGGACAGATGATTGGCCAATTTGCAGCTGAATTTCCGAT